TCCAGAAGCCACCTCAGAACCCTTGTCCTTTTGCTCTTCGGGCTGCTGTCCCCTGGGGAGCCCTGGCGACTTCGCCTCTAACGGACTGCTCGTTAACAAAAAGGGCAGCCAAGCCCTGCGCCCAGATATAAGATGCTACACCTCCTGGGGCAGCCCCTCATCCTGTCTGATGAGCTCGAGAGCGCCTCTCCATCGCGGAGAGCCCCCTCACTCTCAGCAGAGCCCCCACTCGGCGCACGTAGCCCCCGAGGCAGACCGACAACAACAGCTCCGCTCCACAGCCCTCCGGGACACCGTATTGATCTGACACAGCGCAAGACTAGAAATCCGTCTGCCCTCTTATGACCATTCCAGCGTCTCTTTCCATGCCTTTCTGCACAATAGGTCACATTTTATTACAGGCAAGCCTTTCGAACTCTATATTCTGTAAAGGAACAGTGTCACTCCGAAAACCAGGATGAAATAACATAATACACATGGAAAGACACCCGACAGCTCTGTTGATATATACATCACCATGTATATATCAGCACATAAGCACAAAGCAAATACATTTATTTTTACATGCAATAAACATGCCAGAGAATAGTGCACATTGCATGAAGACGGTTCTGCCCTAAAACAGCCATAATTTGGAGGAAACTGTTAAATAGGACATCATTATGCAGCAGAACGCTGTCGAAATCCAGCGCAGGCAGAGCCCTCACCGCCCCAGTCAGAATGTCTCGCGTTATACAGAGCCGGAGAGGCCAGCATTGCAAATGGATTGCTGCGTCTTGTAAACAGATGCGTGCACACGCACCACACACACACACATCAGCACAGGGCCCAGCGGGCGCAGGAGAACACAGACATGGGCAGCGAGGGGAGGACAGGAGCACAAGGACTGCCCGACCCGACACCTAGAGATCACGAAAACGACCGACAAAAACGCACTGGGCACAGGGCGCCGTTACCTTTTTGTGCGTCGAAACATGTTGCTGTCGAAGAAGCGCAGCATAGAGGAATTGGACAAGGCAGCCCAGAGAGAATCAGACATGCTCCTTCGGAAACGACATTGTGTTTGTGGCAGCTCGGGCTCTGCCTGTGTGAGCCAGGGAGGGGCGGCAGCAGGAGAGGAGGCAGGGAGGGAGAGAGAGAGAGGAGAGGAGAGGGCTGATGCCACACCAGAGCCGGCGATTGCAGCGAGAGGGATGCAGCACGGCGCTCTCAAGGGTAACGTGCACAGCCAGGAAGTGGAGAGGAAGGGAATGTGTGTGTGTGTGTGTGTGCCTGCATGCGCGTGTGGCTGCTGCCGTTAAGAGCAAATCAGAGGCGCAGTCGGACTCCGGAGATCCCGAGCGCTCGCTAATGGAAAAGTGAATGGGAAGGGGAGGAGAGAGGTGTGACCCAAGCAGAGAGAGAGAGAGAGAGAGATCATGGTGGGGGGTTGTGACTGGAGACCCAAGACTTAATCTGGCTGTACCAACAGGAAAGATGCAGTTTGCAGGTGTTAATCATGTGTTGGGGGAAAACAAGCTTCAGGAAACCAAGCTGTTGCATTGGGTTTGGCTTGTTTGGAAATGATTTTTTTTTTCCAGTACTGAATCATTCATCTTGTAGCCTTTAATTTCCCCTTGTTCATTTCCATCAATAATAAGACTAAGAAGAAAATGAATAATTGCCACGCTAATTTTAAAAGGCTTGTTTTGTCAGAGGGACGCATTTCATTTGGGAAGCACAGGAACAAATGTGAAAGCTGTGTGTGAAGGGACAAGCCATAATACAGGATATTCTACACCGTCATCAGAAGCACAGAATGGGCACTCCTCTCTAAGCCAACACTCATGATCTCACGTACAGCATCACATGCGGTATCTGTCACAGGGCAAAGCACAGAAATGACTGGACTTCATTCAAAATCTCACTACAAACACCAGTCAGCGTCTGTTAGCAGACTGTTAATACGATTGCAGCTGTGAGACCCATAGAGAAACTAGAGCGTTCATTATTAAGTGCCTACTCAGACTTGCTCATGAATATTAAAAATATCAGTCGATTACTAGCTGCATATGCAGAAAATGAACTATTACAGTAGATTATTTACAGAATACTCAGAATTAAAAAGGTCAGACACTGGTTGTCTTTATCTTTCTCGGGTCGACGAAGGGTTGTAGTGCTGAGATTTGGAAAATTTGGAACAAGGGAGCATAAAAGAGCAAAAATAACCGTCAACTTAAAAAAGCAGATACAGTGCCATCAAAGATTCAGACAAACGACATATCGTATGACTTTAATGACTTCTATGTGCTTATATTAGGAAACACAATTTTCACTTCGATTTCGTGACCCTGTTCAGCAACACAAATAAAACAGAGAGAGTGCGGATATTGAGAGAGTCGGACTGTTCCAGCTCTCCTGGCCTTGCAGGTGCTCCTTGATAAACGCAGAACAAGAGGGAGACGATCTCTTTCTCACTCCTGTATTCCCCAGCCATTCCCCATCTCTCTCTTCCTTTCCTCCTTTTATATATACAGTATGTTGTACTGTTTACTACTGCACAGTGTATACTATACTGCCCAGTGTATATATACTCTACACCGTATGCTATACTGTATATTACTATGTACTGAATACAATTCTGCCCAATACATACAGTACATACAGTACTGTACTATACTGTTTAGTAGTATATGTGAGGCTGAAGACACATACCTGAAGAAGGCTTCACACCCTAAACTTTGTATCTCTTTTCTTTCCATTTCAGCATTGAATAAACCTCTATACTCTATTTAATATGTTACACTGTATACCACTTTATACAGTATACTGTACTACTCAGTAAATACTGCATATATACAATATGCTATACTGTATACTATATCACTCAGTATATATACTGTATATATAGAATACTACTGCTCAGTATATATATATAATACAAATATGCTGTATACTATTATATATTCCATACAGCTCAGTTTATCTACAGTGCCTGCAAAAGTATTCAATCATTTAAAGGATTTCTAATGTTGCTGAGTTACAAATAATACTTAAACATCTTTTTCCAATCAGTATTTAGATTGCAGACTCGCACACTCACACGGAAAATGTTTAAGCAGGTATTTGTCAGCAGATAGCTTAAAGAGACAAAGAAAAAAAGTGGAAAACTGAAATTTGCTTTAAAATGCATAAGTATTCAGATCTCGTACATTAATATTTGGAAGCACCACCCTTTGTTCTTCAGGGTACGTGAGTACCTCCTTAGAAAACACAGGGGATAAGAGTGATGTTCACCCATTCCTCAAGACAGATCTGCTCCAGCTCATTGAAGTTTCTTTGACAGAACTTGTGGACCACAATTTATACTATACTGTGTATTTAGTACTAATATGAGTACATTACACAGTATTCATTATACTATACCGCACAATATATATATTGAGTATGCTATACTGTATACTACTCTATATACTTTACTATACTGCACAGTATATACAGAATGCTATACTGTACTCTACTATATACAATAAGCTACACTATATATACAATAAGCAAATACGATATGCTACTGTATATACTTTGTACAGTACTATTGTACTGCACATTATATGTAGTATGCTTTATTGTATACTACAATATATGCTTCAGTATACTGTTTAATACTATATATATATTATACTGCACAGAATATACAGCAAAGGAACAAGTAAAAGGTTTATTCCATGCTGAAAACAGAAGAGAGAAAACACAATGTTTTGGCTTTGAAGCCCTCACACCCGAAGAAGGCTTCAAGCCGAAACGTTGTGTTTTCTCTCTTCTCTTTTCAGCATGAAATAAACCAATTACTTGTTCCTTTGCAGACTATGCATGGTGACGCAGCTACCCACCTGAACTACAGTATATACAGTACATATACAGCAGTATGCTATACTATATACTACCAGATATATTTTACTTTGCTGTACATATATACAGAATGCTACATGGTATACTATTTTATATACTATACAGTATGTTTACATTATATTACACTATATTCTACACTACTTATTCTTAAAGCAAAAGGACACCATTTCAGCACCAAGAACAGCAACCATCCAGCAGCACACCAGCACAAAGGGGAAGTTTCCAAAGCAAGATGTATATTGTATGCTACAATATATACTTCAATATACTGTATAACACTATATATATATATCATACTGCACAGTATATACAGTATATATATACAGCAGTATGCTATACTGTATACTATATATAGTATATATGTATACTGTATATAGTAGATATAATTTACTATACTGTATATATACAGTATATACAGAATGTTAAACTGTACACTATTATATATTTCTCATTTCACTTCAGACGGCCATGATCACACTGATCTCTGTCTCTGTTCTCAAAGAAGGGTTTCTCAACACCCATAGCAAAAAGACAACAGAAACGAAACTCATCCTGAAACTAGGCTCACACCTTCCCCCTTCTCTCAATGACAGACTTATTTTTGTGTAATCTTCTCTATTCTCATACAGGTTTTGACTTCACACCTTTCTTCACCCCTCTCCATTTTGTACTTCCTGAGTGGCCCCTCTGCCCCTCCTGCCTCCTCCCCTCTCCCCTCTCTCAG